CAACCCAGAATGACCCGCATAGCTGCATTGTGTAGGCGCTTTAGTTTGTCCATCTGTCTTCCAGGGCCAGAATGAAGGGACATTTTTTTTAGGTTAGTTGTTTCCCAGTGCCAGAATGAAGAGACATTTCATTGTATGTTGTTTTCCAGTGAATGGACATTTTACTGACTGTTGTGTCCCATTGCCGGAATGAAGGAACATTTAAGCTAGTATTGTTCCCCAGTGCCATAATAAAGGAACATTTTACTGACTGTTATTTCCCAGAGCCGGAATAAAGGAACATTTAAGCTAGTATTGTTCCCCAGTGCCATAGAGAAGGAACATTTTACTGACTGTTTTTTTTCCCTGTGCCGGAATCAAGGAGCATTTGTGTGTGTGTGTGTGTGTGTGTGTGTGTGTGTGTGTGTTTACTGGGGTGATAAATTAATTAAATATGGCTGCTTTGTTGGTGACTCAAGGATAGCGATAGTAAATGTGATATCTGTCGTGGTAGCAGCAACAGAGGTAGTGAAAGAGAAGTAATAGTAGTAGTAGCAATGGTGGTGGTGGTGGATGGCAGCAACATCAGAAGCAACAACAACAGCAGCAGCAGCAGTAGCAACAGCAATAGCAGAAATAACAGCAGCAGTAGTAGAAGCAGCAGAAACAGCAGTAGCAACAGCAATAGCAGCAATAACAAAAGCATCAGAAACAACAGCAACAATAGCATCAACAGTAACAACAGCACAGGAACAAAAACAGCAGCAACAATAACAGCTGCAACATCAAGAGGCAATAACACAGCAGAGCAGCAGCAACAGTAGTAGTAGTAGCAGCAGCAAACTGAAATCAAGAACCAATATATGACTAATCAGTTGTGTGTGCTGAAGAAAAGGAATGAAAAGAAAGTTTAGTAGAGGAAATCTGAAAACAAAAGTAATAACAACATCAACAACAACAGCAGGCACAGCTGAAGACATACTGTAATCATCTATGACCGCGTGCCCGTCTTGAAGGTCGGGTTGTTCACATGTAGCACCGGAGATGAGAGTGGTGTCCCTTGAAGCGACTGGCTGGGCGACCACGGCTGGAGTTGCCTGTGCTAATAAACAACGCATCAATTGGTTGAAGAAATAGATTAGCTAAATGACTGACGTTTTCCGCCAGTAGCGGGTCAAACCGCATATCACATACTGTTAACTGGTCTACAAAAAGAAATGGCGTATGTATCCATATCTATATGGATTTTATTTTAGTATCCACAAGCCATTAGTTGTTAACCCTTAGGCTCGGTATTATGGATATCGTAACTTTTCGTCCTTGATTCCAGTGTAAATACCGTGAATCTGGGAGAAATGTGGCTTTTCTTCCTACGCCCAGGCGCGAACCCGGACCACAAGGAGTTCGTCACCCGGTCACCGCGCAGTCCGGTTTAGCCAACTACGCTAGTGAGCCAGGCATATGTATATGGATAACGGTTATTGCCTTTTTTTATACATCCAAATAAATACACGCTTTCTTCTGGTTCAAAAGAAGTTATTCTGTTCTGTTAACAATACGCAATCAAATGTTTGAATCAACCAAGTGATCAACTTACCAACTGATTTAAAAAACTAACTAACCGATAAACCGAAAATACAACCAATAATCAAGTTAAGCAATCAAACAAACAACCAGCCACCTGACGTGCAACCAATGAACCAAGTGATCAGCCAGCCAATCAAACAACTAACTTATCAACCAGCCAATCAAACAACTAACTTATCAACCAGCCAATCAAACAACCAACTGATCAACCAGCCAATCAAACAACTAACTTATCAACCAGCCAATCAAACAACTAACTGATCAACCAGCCAATCAAACAACCAACTGATCAACCAGCCAATCAAACAACTAACTTATCAACCAGCCAATCAAACAACTAACTTATCAACCAGCAAATCAAACAACTAACTGATCAACCAGCCAATCAAACAACTAACTTATCAACCAGCCAATCAAACAACTAACTGATCAACCAGCCAATCAAACAACTAATTGATCAACCAGCCAATCAAACAACTAACTGATCAACCAGCCAATCAAACAACTAACTGATCAACCAGCCAATCAAACAACTAACTGATCAACCAGCCAATCAAACAACCAACTGATCAACCAGCCAATCAAACAACTAACTTATCAACCAGCCAATCAAACAACTAACTTATCAACCAGCCAATCAAACAACTAACTGATCAACCAGCCAATCAAACAACTAACTTATCAACCAGCCAATCAAACAACTAACTTATCTACCAGCCAATCAAACAACTAACTGATCAGCCAGCCAATCAAACAACTAACTTATCAACCAGCCAATCAAACAACCGATTGATCAAGCAACCATCGTCCAACCATGTACTCATTTAACTAACCAACCAGTTCTCCTTCTTCTTCTTTTCTTCCACCATTTACCTCGGCGTGATGTTAGGAAGGGGATAGGAGAGATGTAAGGGTCGTTTGTGCGCTTTCTGTAATGCAATGTACAAACTGGTGTTCATTTCTTTTAGGAGCTAACGATGGTGTCTCACAGAGAGACAGTGGCAGACACATAGAGACACACATAGAGACACACATAGAGACAGTGAAAGACAGAGAGAGACAGAGAGAAAAAGAGACAGTGACAGACACACAGAGGCACACATACAGACAGTGAAAGACAGAGAGAGACACAGAGAGAAGATAGAGACAGAATGACACAGAGAGACAGAGAGAGACAGAGAGACAATGAGAGAGAGACACACAGAGACAACAAGACACACACACACACACACACACACACACACAGAGAGAGAGAGAGAGAGAGAGAGAGAGAGAGAGAGAGAGAGAGAGACAACGAGAAACTTTAACTGAAGTCAGCATAGAAAAGTTAGCGAGACTACTGACCTAAATACTCCTGCAGTTTGTCAAACTTGGGTCCCTGGTGGAAGCGAACCAACTTCAGTCTGACTGTCTGGTCAGTGTTCTTGAGGACCTCTAGTGCCTGCTGGTTTGAGAACCCATGGAGTGACCTGCCATCCACCTGCAAATAAACAGAGGGGGAACCTTTGAGGCCGTTAAATACGTCATTCCTGCAAATAAACAGAGGGGGAACCTTTGAGGCCGTTAAATACGTCATTTCTATAAATAAACAGAGGGGGAACTTTTGAGGCCGTTAAATACGTCATTCCTGCAAATAAACAGAGGGGGAACCTTTGAGGCCGTTAAATACGTCATTCCTGCAAATAAACAGAGGGGGAACCTTTAAGGCCGTTAAATACGTCATTCCTGCAAATAAACAGAGGGGGAACCTTTGAGGCCGTTAAATACGTCATTCCTGTAAATAAACAGAGGGGGAACCTTTGAGGCTGTTAAATACATCATTCCTATAAATAAACAGAGGGGGAACCTTTGAGGCCGTTAAATACGTTATTCCTATAAATAAACAGAGGGGGAACCTTTGAGGCCGTTAAATACGTAATTCCTGCAAATAAACAGAAGGGGAACCTTTGAGGCTGTTAAATACATCATTTCTATAAATAAACAGAGGGGGAACCTTTGAGGCTGTTAAATACATCATTCCTATAAATAAACAGAGGGGGAACCTTTGAGGCTGTTAAATACATCATTCCTATAAATAAACAGAGGGGGAACCTTTGAGGCCGTTAAATACGTCATTCCTATAAACAAACAGAGGGGGAACCTTTGAGGCCGTTAAATACGTCATTCCTATAAATAAACAGAGGGGGAACCTTTGAGGCCGTTAAATACGTCATTCCTATAAATAAACAGAGGGGGAACCTTTGAGGCCGTTAAATACGTCATTCCTATAAACAAACAGAGGGGGAACCTTTGAGGCCGTTAAATACGTCATTCCTATAAATAAACAGAGGGGGAACCTTTGAGGCCGTTAAATACGTCATTCCTATAAACAAACAGAGGGGGAACCTTTGAGGCCGTTAAATACGTCATTCCTATAAACAAACAGAGGGGGAACCTTTGAGGCCGTTAAATACGTCATTCCTATAAACAAACAGAAGGGGGGGGGGAACCTTTGAGGCCGTTAAATATTATGAATTAATCGAGTAACAGAAAGTGTATTTATCGGCACTCATAGAAAGAAGTAGATAGATAGAAGAACATACTAGACAACATAAAAATCGAAAGCTATAGTTACCGTGCCGGAAATTGAACCTGTCACCTCCAGACGGCGTCTGCGCCTCGCCATGAATACAAGTGCACTAAAAGCATGGTCAACCAAGCACCCCCCCCCCCCCCCTCCCCCAAAAAAAAAAAAAAGGTGTCTTATTGGCCATGTCTATCGTACAACTTGAAATCCACAACTATGGAATACGGACAGAATTCATGTCAAACCATTAAAATGGCACCATAGGTTACATAAATTTATTTTAACGGAGCATATGTCGAATAACAATCACAGCAACAATTTACCTACACGGTAGACTTTAATGCTTTGTCTAGAATACACACACATTTAAGAAAGGTATTTTTTTGGTAGGTTCCGGTGTGTATACGTCATTCCTAGAAATAAACAGAGGGGGAATTTTTGAGGCCGTTAAATACTATGAATTAATCAAGTAACAGAAAGTGTATTGATTGGCACTCATAGAAAGGAGTAGATAGTTAGAAGAACACACTAGACAACATAAAAATTGAAAGATATAGTTCGTCAACCTGTAGCAGTCAATGTCACAATAATGACAGGTAACAAAAAGACAAAGTGGCAAACATGGGAAAGTGGCAAACCTGGGAAGGTAATAAACACGGGAGCTAACAACGTAGGGTAAAGGTAAAGGTGAGAGAATCGACTTTATTCTACCGGGTTTTATTCCATATAGTTCGGTCTCTCTCCGCAGAGCATCTGGCTGCTTGCAGAGAGTGTCGCATAGAGCACGACCTCCGTAGCTCCGGCGCCGATCCGTAAGGATCTCTCATATTAGCTTGTGCAATTTAAAACATAGGGGCCTCAGGGTTTTATGGAGCTTAGGGCTTCATCAAGTCAAAATATAGAAATGCCCCAATCTAATCCACTCCCAGACTCACCCCTCCCCGAATCTACTCTAAGCTTCTCCGTATTTGTGTAACTAGCACAGAGATGTGATCTAAACAGAAACTCACTTCAATGATCTGATCGTTGACTTGAATCCTGCCATCAAGGGCTGCAGCACTACCCTCGACCACACTTTTCACGAATATTCCAGAAATTTCATCTGTGGACAATACATAAAGTGGGACGGGAGAAGAGGGGGGAAGAGATTTCAGATGTGACGGCTTCATACCTACAAGCAATAATGGAATATTCACACATAAGCAATCAGGAAGAGACACTGACGCTGATTTGTCGAACGTTTGTCGATCCTCGCTGTGTCTGTTAGTCGTTAGTCAAGATTCAAACTTCAACGCAGACGAGATGTCACAAAAACTGCTCCATTCTTGTGCCATGGAAATCACACACACACACTGTCCTTCAGTGTCCCATTTGAAAAGATGTGAAAAACGTGTCACGCTCAACAAAATCTTGAAGTTCGCACACGTAAAGTAAATGTATAAGCCAGCTGACATATGTGCGAACACTAACAGTCCCACGCCAAAACTGCAGCTTACTTTTTAATGTCTATGTGTATCTATCTATTGATGAGCGCACTGCGGAGGAAGCTAGCTTTATTTAAAGAAGAGAAAAGCAAATCTGAAATGACAGGGCAGACCTGACTCTTAACCTCAGTCAGCAGATAGTCTGGATCGAAACTCAGCCACGTGGACAGACAGAACTGCTCCTCTGATCCGGCAGCTTCTTCGGCGTGCCTTGTCATTGGTGCTACCTGCCCTTTGGAGTAAACAAGGCAGGTCGAGATCCTATGGCAAGGACAACACGTGGTCTCTACAGTACT